TCCTTTTAGGTCAAGGAACACTGCGATTGTTGGCCGACGATGTGTGTGACACAGTTCGAGAAATTGACGCAGAGTGAAGATTTGGTCGATGCATCCGCGACCTGGTCGGAATCCGGCTTGTTGCTCACGGATATTCCTCTTCCTTAAGGGTGTCAGGCGGCGAAGTATCACAGAAGTCAATACTTTTGTGGTTATCGGAACTAAACTAATCCCACGGTGGTTAGCACAGTCGTCGTGTGATCCCTTCTCGAAAATAGGGACGGTCATCGACCGCAAGTTGGAAAACTGAGCGCATCGGAAGCTTGTCTAGGCGGTTATTGTGCTCTACTCTGCCAGCGAACAGATAATGGCGATCGACTTCTTCAATTCTGCGCAGACCATCATCTGTTCCTAACCAGCAGCAACTTCCGACACAGCTCTCAACGGACAGCAACATGGCACTCAAATTCAACTGGCACACTAACTCAGATGGACCACATAGCAGTAAGCTAACTTTGGCGTGGATTAGTACAAAACTGCAAGTCCTATTGGACCACCTGCGTTGAATGTGATCATGCGTTAGTTTTGATGCAGTTCAGTCTCCAACTCACTGGTAGCAGAAAACTCCACCAAACTCGATTGGCAGCCATTCGTGCCCGTTTTGAATCAGAAGCGGGGCAAGAGCTAAACGCGCTGCGGGGTGGTAGTGTAGGTGAATAGTGGGATCAAATTAGACGAGCAATGTAATTCGCAGCGAGAGCTGCTTGTGGATCTGAAGCGGTAGCTCGCCCGAGGCAATGGATATATGATCAGTCAGTAGCACTGATGGAGAAAAAGCGGTAAATTCCTTCCACCCGGGACTAAGGCCGGGGTAGGTGGCGTTTGCAACGTCAACTCAAGAAGAGCCTCAAGAAAAACCGTGAGAACTGGTGGACAACAATAGCTTGTGAAATGGAAGTTGCAGCTGCATCAGGGAATAGTCAAAGACTGTTCCAACTGATACGCAACACGGGAGGTCGACGAACCAGTTAGTGCAACAATCT